AAAAATCTCAGGTTGCTCAGATATTAAGGAATCACATTTTTAATTAGATTTGGAAGTAAGAGTTTCTTTTCCTTAGAGAAACAGGATCACTGAGGTTGGATGTCTGGAGACCTAGTCCAACCCTCCTGCTCAGGCAGGGTCAACTGCAGGCTGTCTTCCAGGACTGTGTCCAGTTGGATTTTTAATATCTCCAATGATGGAGGCACCAAAACCCCCCTGGGCTACCTCTTCCACTGTTAGACCACCCTCATATTAAAAAAGTTTTTTCTGACCTTTAAATGGAATTTCTTTACTTCAGTTTGTACCTGTTGTCCTATCACTGGATACCACAGAGGAAGTCTCTCCCTGCCTTATTCACCCCTCTCCCATCAGGTATTTATACACACAGATATAGATGTATTGGTACGCCCCCCGAGCCTTCTCTCCTCCAGGCTGAGCAATCCCAGCTCTCTCAGCCTCTCCTCATAGGACAGATGCTCCAGTCCATTAATCACATTTGGGGCACTTTGAAGGACCCACTCCAGTGTGCCCATGTCCCTTTTGTCCTCAGGAGCCCAGCACTGGACACAGCACTCCAGATGTGGTCTCACCAGTGCTAGAGGGGAAAACCCAGTACTTTCTTCTGCAGTCTTCAGATGCAATTCCCACTGAGATTGACTGAAGAGCTGACTGTGCAAGAATAGAGATTATCACCCTGGAAGTGTCAGATTCTACTCTGTCATGCTTCCATCTGGTCCCATGCACATAAATCATGTACATATAAATAAATCGAATTATGAATAACGGCTGCCAAACATTAGGTCAGAGAGCATTTTTTGTAAATGCATTGGAAGCATATGTATAAGATAAAAATATATTACCTAGAACTAATCAATGGTAAAACAACAATAATTGAAAACCAGCAATAAAATGTTTTCTGCTGTTCATCACAGCTGAATCAACACAGTGTACAAACAGACCAATACTGATAATAGGTTATTTCTACAGAGCTTTCAAGAGGCCAGGCAAGGGAACCCCATAAATCTGATGTGTTTCCTATTCTGCCTATGCCCTTTACATATTCATAGCCCCACAACCTGCCTCTCACTCCCTGGCTGTCAGCTGCTGTGATTCAGCGCAGTGTGTTCACCGTGCACAGGGCCACTCTGAACACAGCCCCTGTACCTGACTCCTGACCACAACTTGTTCATGTCATGAAGACAGATGAGCTAAGTGAGGCTGGGGTGCTGCATAAAATATACTGGGATTTGTGGTCCTTATTCTCCTATCTCTACTCACCTCCACCCTTGAAGTGTCCTCAGGACCTTGAACAAGGTAGTCATAAATTTTGTAAATTAGCTAATTTTTACACAAGCCCCTCCTGATCTTTGTGCTTTTTTTCTACCCCTGGAATTTGTCCTCCTGAAATTGTCTCCTGAAATTCTTTTATTATCCCTTACTCACTTGATAAAGTATAGAGTTAGAAGATCCACCCACCCACCTCTGTGGGCCTCCATAGTTCCCATGTCACCACATACTTTCCACCCTATCTTTATGGTCAGGGAGCATCCTATGCCTATGAGCTTCAGTAGATCTCCTGAGCTCCTTGGCTACAGAAAAAGAAAGAAACGTAAGGGCTAAGGGTCAGGGTCATGCTCTATGTCTAAAAATGCAGAAGGCAAGCTGGAGATGGGGTTGGAGAGATACAGGCAAGCCCGGGCACCATCACCTCCTCCTTTGCTGATACAAGAGGTGAAGTGGGAGCAGAGGCTGGGAACTGTAGCTCTTGCGGGACTGCGACATCTCCCTGTAGCAGTGCACATTTTAATACATCTCCAAACCTTCCTTAGTCAGCAACAGCAACTGGAGAAAGGGCAATGCAGACACTGTTCGAAAAAGGATTTTGGGGTGGCAGGACGGGGATGTGCACTCTGGAATAGCTGACACTCATTCCTTCAGGCACAGGCAAAATGCACTGTTTCCTCTCGCAGGCCTTCGCCTAGACTGCCTTCCACTGCTATTTGTGTCAACAACGTATAAATGACATTAAAACTCTAATCACATTAAAGCTTGTCCGTGGCGGCGGTGACACGTGGCTGCTAGCTTTGCAGTTTCACTGGAGCGCAGGGTCTCTGCTGCTCCACGCTAGTCACCAGGGAAGCAGCAAGGCAGGAAACCAGACATCACTGTTGACAGGGCAGAGGCAACAGCATATGTGCTCAGCAGATTAAAACCGATCCTCATGCTGTCCCGTGACCAGCCTGGATCTTGTGAGCCACATACTCCTTATGCTGCGTATTGCGAGATGCTTAATATCCATGAAGCAAAGAGAGGAAATGTGCCTGTTTTGACAAGGCAGACCATGGCTTTCACAAAATAAAACTTTCTTAAATAGTATTAAACTGCTTCTTATGTAACTTTCTTAAGCAACTTGTAACTTTCTTAAGCAATAATAAGTAATGAAATGCTTTTAAAACTGTTAGTCCATAAAGTAGAGGGTTGATTGATTTATCTTCGTACCACAAACTAGTACATGCTCTTTATTTTTGCTACATATACAAGGAAAATACGATCTGACAGCCTGCGTGAATGTCTTTGTCATTGAGTTCAAGTGCACACACAAGCAACGGGCTTGAAAGTGGATTGGCAAACTAAGGTTTTCTCTTATTTTTATTATAAAAAAATTAAAAATCAGAATATTCTTGGACTACTTTAAATTTGTCGTTATTGCCAAACTTAGGCAGTGAAGTTGTTGTATAGGGTAGCAGTCCAAGGGCGTATCCAAACTGCCAGGCATTTGTAGGCTCATGCCATCCTCACCTGAGTGAGGGATCTGAACCAGAGATGCCATCCCTCAGCATGGGGTTAGCATCATCATTATCACAGGACTGCGGCTGCCCTCCTACTCTCTTGATCGGATACATGGCAGTACCTTCACCTGCACTGCGAAGTCCTGTCCCTGTACCTCATTTCTACACAGGACCAAGCTGAGTGTTTCGGTGCCTCAGTTCAAGATGTGCCCCTCGACTCCTGGGCACATTTTTAGTTTGGTCTCTGCACGATTTTAAGGTTTTACGTACTTTGGAAACAAGAACAGAAACAGATGTTCTGGCAATGGGTCAGATCAAATTAAAGAAAGCAATATCATACCCACAACTTTATTATATCACTCTGAATATTATTTAAAATCTGTAAATTATGACAGGTTTTCAAACAAAACTAAGTTCAAACCATCTTCTCTTGGCAAAACATATTATTTTTGTGCTTCAATTGAATTGTTTTACGTAACCATATCCCTTAAGCGTTCATAAACATTAACAACATTATAATTTTAATGGTAAGTTCTAGGTAATAGATGCAAGGCAGAAGATGCTGTTGGATGTAATAGAATCATCCAGGTCCTGGCTGACGCATACCCGGAATTTAAAAACTGTGTCTGCACTACAGATGATCTCTGTAGCATCACAACTTTGCTTGGGAAACAGTGCAGCATTGATAAAGGTAACTAAACATAAAGATTTAATTATGAAGAACAAAAAGAAATATGTAATTTTGTAACCCTCATTTTAACTGGATTCAAATTTCTTTGCATATTTGTCAAATCTGATAATTCCCCCCCCAAATTAGTTTTGTCTTTTCTATGGTATTCACACACCAACATGCATATGTATGCAATGCCATATCGCCTTTAAAATAAACAAAACCAATAAAAGGCATGTGAGAAATTCAAATGGTTTTCAAAGCTCTTGCTCAATCCAGTGGAAAGCAAGAGTGAAAATACCTTGTGTGTTGAGGGCTATTCGTTGCCCAAGGAGGCCTGAGCACCACGAGACCTATGTTATGTACAGAGAGCCACATCCAGCCACCTTGTGAAGGGGAGTATGAGTGAATGGGGATGCACAGCTGTGCAGCTGTGTCACATTGTGTTACAGGAGCATCTTCACTACATCTAGGAGAGGTTACTGGAAGTGGGAAACACAGTTACTATCTTCATAAAGCTGTACTTAATATATAAAGTGCATCCTTTTTTAAAATTCCATTGTAACCAATGGGCCCAGCTCCTTTAAATATATTTTTTATTATCCTGAGAACTCTTTTCTCTTCAGAAAACCTATTTCTATAATTGAAAATTACTTAGTGCATGAAAGGCTTGCAGTTTCTGATCCAATGTCTCCTGGAGTAATGATTAGCAAAGCGGACGTAGGAGCGGTAAAATCAGCCAGTGAATGAGAGTCTGGAAAGTAAGCCCCAAGGTTGATTCCCAGCTCTGATCCATCACACCCTGCTGGCATCAGTCAGTGTACATATAGTAGTAGAATATATGGCTTTATTGCAGAGGAAATAATAGCATCCTGATCCGTTACTCCTTGCCCCAAACAAGAAGAGAGTGTCTAAAACCTGATGTTGAAGTCATTGGAGAAGTGGCTTTTGCTTCCAGCAAAATGAAATAATTTTATATTTTTTGCTGATTGAGATTACATTTCTCACCAATATAGTGAAAAGTTTGGATGGAGTTACACTAGTATTGGTTTTACCTAGAGATGATAATTTATGGTGTTGGTAGATACTTTCAGGAGTAATTCTCCCTATCTTAAATGACTATTTTAGGTAATGAATGAGCCATCTTCTGGAATTGCCATTCTCTCTTCACAAATTATGCATTGAATTAGGATGATAATCCATGATATGTCCAATCTGTAGGTGGTTAAAATTATGTGAGATGAATGCCTTTATGCAGTAATTTTAGTGAGAGTTTCTCACATTACTCTTAGCAGCTGAATTGTTAAAGTAGACTGTATTATACAGCTTCCAGGACACAGTAAGCATGACGAAGATTCACTAGTCTGCAAGACTCTGAAATTATTATGTATTTACATACAGCTCAGAATGAAACTAGCAGTGTTTCATTCATTTTATTGCATTAAGACAATTATCCTTTTCCTGAGTTTGTTTTGAGCTGACCAGTGATGATGTTCCATCTTCCATTTGATTTACATTTCTGTTTGCACCTATTTGTACAGAACATTTAGAAACTTCGTCAAGATCAGATACCGGACTGAGTTTTAGGCAACGCAGAAACCCCAAAGACCAAAGACACCCAGAAGAGTTAGAGAACAACTGCAGTATTGCAAAGCAACGCTGTCAAGAGGACCCTTACTGTTTTCTAGTGTATAAGAGCTTCCAGCGAGCATGCCAGGCAGACGCAGCAAAATGCAGGCTCCCGATGGTCAACCAGGAGTGTTTGTCAGCGTGGAAAGAACTGAGGAAAACCGTGCTGGGAGAGTGCAAGTGCTCAGAGCTGTTTCAGATGAGATGTGTTAAAATATGGAAGGGAATATTTAACAACCCTTGTCTACAATACTCTCAAGAGAGCCAAGCTTCAGCAGCTAGTGAAAATGATGACGATGATGATGATGACGATGATGAGAAAAATCAGGACACCGACACAGGTTAGTCTGAATGCTTTCATACATAACAGTAGTGTGCACAAGTCTGTGAAGAAGGTTTTCTTAATAATTTGCAGTTTAACATTGGAAACAGGATAGTTTTAAGAGGCTTATTTAGATGCAAATGAATAATCTGACAGCAATATGATAGCCTGGGTGCAAATACTATTGTCCTTCAATGTGTTAATTTGATACAACCTGATCCAAATCAGTCCCTTTTAGTATTACACTATAACTAGAAACAATATAAGACCAATAACAATAATTTTCTAATAGCAAGAATTGTCTGCCTGCCTTGACTTTAGCTCGTGACAAGCAGTTAGTTGAGCTTGAAAACTGGGTGCGCTGATGAACACATTAAGGCCTATGGCCTTTATTTATTCACAAGAAATCTGACTTTATACTGTGCTGAGCAGCTCTAAAAACTCTTCTTGAGCTCACAGGTTCTATAATTATGTAGAGAATGTTATCAGCAGCCATTGATAAACTGTGCTTTCACCCCAAAACTTATGAATACATGTAACAGTGATTTTAGAGTTTGTTAACAAGCTGACGGATCCTATTTGGTCAAGCTAATTTTTTTTATTCTTGTTTATTTTTACTACTGGCACTATGCCAGCAACACAGCCAATACTTTAAAGTTAAAAACTGAGTTAAGACATGGTGTATCACTTATGCCTGTATCTGTATCTTTTTGTTCTAGACAATATTAGTACGGAAACAAAATTACAATGGAGTTTATCTGCTCTCTCCAAACAAGGTAAGTCTGAATTTACTTATGAATCCTAATAACTGGTTTTAGCTCTGTTTTCAGATAGCGTACAATGTATCTTGAGATTAAAAGGAATACTTTTCATTCAAATTACTGAAGAGCAGGGAGTCAATAGATCCAACATATTTTCAGTTAAGCTACTGGATAGATAAGAATCCAAAAATATCAGGTAACAATCCTGATCCTGTTAAATTTACAGAGGCAAATCTTATCCCATAAACATTTTAGGGTCAGAATTACATAGATCTTTTTGGGAGGTTTATAGCACAGGCTGGAAATACCTAAACTAGCTTTAAAAGCACAGAACTGCCATTTATAGTCTCTTCTCCATTACTTACTACACAGCCTAGCATAAGACTGCGTGCTGGAGATTTCGGCAATTTCAGGTATCCACTAGCCACTCACAGAAACCATCACATACTATGAAGAAACTTTCGTCTTGCCAGTTTTCACTTTCTTCTCCCTCACTTATCTGGCAGGGGCAGAAACTTGCAGGAGGGTTGCTTATGAGGGCCAAGCAATGGAAGGGAAAAGTATGAAGATCACACAATGGGTTTAGAGGCAGTGCTGGAAGAGCTGGATCAGAGTTTTTGGGAGTCAAACTTGCTTTTAATGGGAATGTTGCAGGCAGGATGACTACCAATCATCACTTGAGAAAGGTTTGCTTGTGATTTCATTTTAAAAACTGTTATTCTTTTTAGCATACGCAGCAAACAGAACCTGTTTGGATGTGAACAAGGAGTGTGTTGAAGATGAAGTATGTAACAAACAGTTGTCCCTGTACCTTAAGGTTTGCTCAGTAAATAAGAAGTGCAACATGGAAGAATGTCAAGCAGCCATAAGGTTCTTCTATCAAAACATGCCTTCTGAAGTTGCCCAGATGATGACATTTTGTGATTGTATCCAGCCTGATGAATCCTGTCACAGAGCCAAAGAACTTCTTCATGGCAAGCCCTGTGCAGTTTCTGCAGTTCCACCCCCGTCATGTCTGAATGTAATTCACATGTGTGAAGAGAATGAATTGTGCAGGTAAGTAGAAGAAAGATTTTGCCCAGTAATGTGCTTTTGAATAATAATTCGATCAACAATTTTTATGTATATGCCATATATCTCATCTATAACAAAATTATTTTCTGCACCATATCTACTGTATATCACCACTTTTGTTTGACATCTTCACAGATGTCTGCATCAACTGTGGTAATTCCACAAGTAATTCCACAAGTAAAACGAAAAGGCTCACTTTCAGAAAAGTCTGGAATCTCTGCCTATTTCATGATGCTTAACACCATTTCTGTTGGACAAACTCTGCTGTTGCATATTTTCATTACCACTTTCTTCAGCTAACACCTGCCAGTCTGCACCTTTGCCCTCTAGCAGTTTGCAGAAATTGTGCAGCAGACCGGACAAAGTCTGTTTGGTTAAAGTAATTACCTCTTCCACCGCAGAGTCTGACCCTTTGTACCCAATGGCCATACAACCAACTTGACCCGTTCAGAAAACTGACATCTTATTCTTTTCACATCAAGCAGACTGATACTTGAAAACAGCTGTCCTGAAACATGCACAGACCACCAAACTCATGAAGATTAACACAGTTTTCAGATTTGGTTTTATTTTAGAAAACACACAACGGGATTAGCCCATATTCGTAGTTCTACTTAATTGCCACCATTTGTGGATGGTCAATTGGCTTACTTTGGTTTTCAGCGTAGTCACCAGTTCTCTTGTGGATTAGACCTGAATTTTACCTAAAAGCTGTGCTCAAATTAACCTTCAGTCAACAAACCAGGAGGCCAAGAGATGCTTTCAGTTCTGTGCAGGCTATTCACATTGACGTCAGTGGGAATTGCCCCTTTTTATGTCAAGAAGAATTGGGCTACAAATGTATGTCTGTGCATGTGCATGTATACACATGTAATATCATAATGGAGACTCGCTGAATTACCCATTATTTTGGGAACATTAATGTTTCCTGGCACGGACAATAAGTGGATATAATTAGCAAAATTAGTATGTGAATTATGGCTAGCCATATCTATAAATCAGGAGGTGAATAAAAATAATTCCATTAGCACAGAGGTGGCATCTGCTTTGAAACCTTTGCTTGTGTAATGAAAATATTTACAATAATGTCCTAGCTGGTATTGTAACAGTCCATGTTTTTCCATGTGACTTGCTTGTTACAGCTACACAATATCAACACTAAATTAATAGCCTAATTTTATGATTAAGGAAATAATGTTTTAATATATTAATTCAACAACAGTTTACCTTTATCGTCCCCTAACATTTAATGTAAATGATAAATTGGTTTCTAATTAATACCTACAGATTTCTTAGTTAACTTTTAATAGATGTTTTCTATTGTCATACATAGTGCATTAAAGGCCAATTTTATTCTATCCTAGGAGCAAATAAACTGAAATCATTTGAGATTATTAAGCTGGGAAACAAGTTAACTCTTCTCATAACTTATCTCCGGTATCAATTAATCTTTAAGGTCAATTGAATTACTTCTAATTTTTCCTGAGGCTTGGACATTTTGTATTTTATTAGCATTTGGGGGGAGGAGGGGTTGGCATTGGATGTAGATTATTTTCTGTAAAATAAGTTGAATATTCATTCTTCCTTCACACTGCCCAACAAACTGATCCACTAGTATGGCACCTGTTTTGGTTTCATTGTGATGACTGGTCTAATTCCTCTATCCACATTTCTTCTCTGAGGATCTGAGGCTGTTGGTATTCGCACTGATTTTTGCTGGACCCTGGGAAAATCTCCACAGGTGCTGAGTAGAAGTGCAGTTGCTTTTTCTCAAAAACTTTTCTAGTAAAACCAAGTTTTTCCTCAAATTACAATTTTGCAGATTTCACTCAAACCAATTAGGTGCAGATCAGAGCAGGATTTAGGCCAGCTATCACGGAATATTGTGATTTTTAAGGCTTAAGTGGTACCTTGGGAATACACTCTCTTTTCATGACGATCCTTAAATGTCTTTTTGCGAAATCAGAATTTTTAAACTGTCATTGTATACTTCTTTTTTTTTCCACCAGGAAAAAATACGCAACTTTTCGGTCAAAGTGTTGGAGACATGTGACAAAAAAATGCTATGATGATGAAGCTTGTCTTGAAACTTTAATCAAGGGCGACATGCCCTGTTCTGCAAACGCTGATTGCAAAGCAGCCTACATTAGCAACTGGGGCACGGTGCTGCGCGTGGAGTGCACCTGCCAGAATTTACCTCCTGCGGAGCAGTCTTTGTGCAAGCTCTTCCATCACATGCTTCACAGCAAATCCTGCTTCAGTGAGTTACGTGAGTAACACATAAAACTTCATTTTAAAGTGTATTAAAATGCTGACTTACACCAAATCTTTACTATATCTTTGCTACCACTGATTTCAACAGGATTTATGTCTGCGGTTTTTTTAATCCAAATCAAAATACAAATTGCACGTACAGTTTTTTCCTCTGGTTTTGGGAAATATTTTATATTAGTAGTAAATCAATAAAATTGACTACATGTCTCATTACATGAATTTGCTGGAATGACAATAAAAGAATAATTTCTGGGGTCTATACTATTACGCAGATTAGAAAAGTCCAAAGCCTTCCTGTCACTGGCTTAATGTTGTACTTCGGTACACCGTTTCTTCAAATAATATGACATATTATGTTGTTTTTTCTTTCTTTTCTTCTTGGAATCTAAATAGTATAGCTTACACACATTTAGCAACAGACTTCATTCTACAGAAAATAACTTCAATGATTTAAATAGGACCTCTCAAAGAAAAAGCTGCTGTGAATGGAGGCTTCGGGATTTGGCCTTCAGTAAAAACACTGGGGTTAACTCAGATGAAATGTATGTATTTTCTCAGAACCAGGAAAGCCTTTCATGTGCTAAATCAGCTACTTATTTTTGTTAAATAAAAAAGTCCTTGCCAAGTTTTTGTTTAAGAGAGAATTGTTAGTGCAATGAATGGTAATATCGGAGCAAATATTAATGTTTTAGTCTGAATTAGTAGCGTGCCTTTGAAGCAAATCCCCTGTTTGTCCCCACTTATTGTGCTGTGGGTCACATCGCAGGGTGGTTCCTGGACTCCTGCAGCCTAAAACTGAACCTGAAGGTTCACCTGCCGCATCTGCAACGCTCCAGCTACATCCAGGCATCCAGTCCATGGACCAGATTAAAGACCAAAGTACCCTCTTCTCAAATCTCTGATCTATCACACCGGCTATTTTGCTATATAAATCCTCTTAGGATACACTACTTGCTAGTGCATCATACTCTATGCCAGTCACCTCCTATATGTAATTATATATATTCTCAACCTAGCTTGGGAGAGGTAACTATATCTAAAGATTTCAATGAAAAGCAATGACTATTTCATAGTTCCATCTGACAGACTGTCTTTTAAAAACACGTATTTATTGCATGCATGCATTTCATTGAATGAATTAGCTAATTTTTTAGTTTTAGCGGCCAAACACTGATAAGGGTGTAATTTTTTTCTTGTCACTCAAAGTCTACTCAAAAATTAAAATCAAGTTGCAGAAACACTGCCCTTAAGCTCAGTTAATCATTACTAAAATTCAGACTCTGAGAAAAATATAACAACTCTCCTGGAAGTGATACCATAACACACTTAGATTTGAGACTCCTGGCAGTGATTTTACCGATAAATGTTATTTATTTGTTTGCTTACTTTATGGCAGCATTTAATGGTCCAAATGAGTGATCACATCATTGTGTCAGTTATTCTTTACCTACAAAGCAAAAAGATGACCCTCATGTCATAATAATCAAATAATTGCTTATGAGCTTTTGCCATTCCCTGAAGCAGTCTTAGGATAAAATGTTTTTTTTTTTTTTGCAATGGAAACTTCCCTAACTTAATTGGGATTAAAGAACAGAAGCTTGCTTGCTCCTGTGGTGCAACGAATTCCTGCTAGCTAAACAAAAACAGTTTGGGGATCTAGGGCCATTGGCTGAGTAAAGGATTGGCACCTACTCTCCAGAACATTTGCAAAGTCTAGTGAATCTTGCTTTTGTTTTTTCTGCGATGCCTAGTTCTAATGCAGCTAAACTGAAGAGAGAGATGATTATGGATTTGATTGTGAGGCACAGTGTTAAATGCCATTATCTGCATGGCAGTTCAGAGACGTGGAGTGAGTGCTCTGTTGCAGACCTCATCCAGCCCCTTCTGCTAACTCATTCATCTGGCCCAGGTGTGAACTCTGGGTAACTTTCACACTTAGAGCGGTGATGATTTTTAACATTGAAGTCTTTCTGAATAGGCAAATACCCAGGGCTAGCAAAAGGGATCTTTGCCTCTAGAACTGGTGTGAACAGGCCTGCAAGCCGTGTTTACACCATCACATCTTCCTACTCTTGTATGGCACTGCCTGGCTACAAGTGTTTGCTCTTGGGGCTGTGCTTACAGGATCAAAGCTTGCTGCAGACTCAGTAAAAGGCAAGAACTGTGAGTAACTGGCTGCTATATGAGACAGAAGCACAGCGTGGAACAGTGCCAATGTAGGATCAGTGTCACAACAGGAATAAGCAAAAAAACCAGTGACAGAAAGTAAAAAGTTAAGTTTCAAAAATATTTTAACTCTGGGTTGTACTTTTGTATCTCACAGAAAAAATACATTACAAGGAGATTTAGTCCATTGCTATTTAGACAACGTTCCAGGCTGCAAACATGAGCCTTTGTCATATTGTTTTAATTTCTCTAGGGAATACAAATTTCTCAGCTTACAGTTCATGTGAGTGACCATGCATAGTGTTGTATGGTTTAACCCCTTGCTCTGTAAACTATTCCACTTAGGTAAACCTTTTATTTTTCATTTCAACAGAAGAGATATATTTTCAGATACATGCACAAAATTATGTCCACTAAGAGGACAGGCCTTTGTGAAAGAGTGATTGAGGTCTAGCAATTCATTTGGAGAATAAGCTCTGCATTTTGGCAATGACTTCAAACTTCTACCTATTTCTCATCACTTCTATATTGGTTTGGTGGGCCCAATTCTTCTGGGGGCCTATTTCTAAAATGGTTTATGTGAAAAGAGAATTTAAGCTGTTTTGAGGCAGAGAATATTTTTAAAGCACGCTTGTCCCTCGTAAGACAAACTACAGGGGAGGTTTAACTGAGATGTCAAAGGAAGAAGTCTCATTCCCTCATTCACTTTGTTCATCGAGTATCAGTACGCAATATTTTTAAATAGCTGCCTTTACAAATTCTGTAACTCCTATCAAAACACCAAACAGCAATATTCACTTAAATTATTATTTTAAAGTAGTATTTTGAATGGATATTTTCTTTTCAATATTCAGGTCAAATTTCCATTAAGAAGAAAGATTTTCACTGGGTAAATACAGAAATGCCAGGAGAAAAGCTTTCCAGAGCACAGCTCCATTCTTCTTCAATTCATGGTGAGTTTGGGCAAACCACTCCCTGATTTTAGTAGAAGTACTCTTGAAATTTCCCTCGTGTATGATAGGGAAGACTAAAGGTTGGGGTAGGTTCAGGCAAGCGAGCTCTACCTGTTGCTCCTCCATTCAACATAATGTGGAAAAATCTCTCTACCTGTTTGGCTTAGTTTATATAACCACAAAATAAAGATAATGAGACTGAACCAATTTTTCTGATAAGTGGTTTTGAAACAGATGTCTCACAATCACTATATTATAATTGGGGAAAATTAAGCTATTAAGCCCGCCAGAGCCTGACTGTCTGTACAGTCATTAGACAGTAGTAGTCATAATGTGTAATATAAATTATTAGCTTTGATGTCACACCTACTCCTCTCCTATCTCTTGACTTTTTGTGCCATAGTAGTTACAACAACGCAATTAGGAAGCCACAGTAAGTGGTCTGAGAAGGGGCTTGTGTTACACTCCATCAGACTTTACCTTCTCATGCAACAGAAGGGCACGCAATTGCAGATCGCGGTATCCCATGGGCTAAGAGCTGCATCTGGTTTTATTTCCATGCATTTACAGTAAGCAATTAAGTGACATAAAGTTAAAGGATATTGAATTAATACACAAATTTTCTCATGGTTGAAATACTATTAATTTTATATTTCCTTTTGAAGGACCCAATTACAGAGTGAGAACACTAAAGAGCTTAATGCACAAATACCGACTCTAACAAGAATGACCTGTTCTACCTTGCGTGGGGCAGATTACAATACTCCAGACATCACTACGAATTAGTTCCCTGAAATGTTCATACTGAACACCTTTAACAGTGAAAAAATAATTCAAGCTCTGTATGCAGTACAAAATGAAGGGACTTCTATCATGTCCATCCTTCAACTGTTGCTGAAGTGGGCAACCTGGGAAGTATAAAAATAGACTCATGGGAATGAGATTCCTGAGACCTGTATGTGAATAATTAAGCATTCAGTTGTAATTTTAGCATTAAAATTACTTAAGAATCATGCATGTCATCCAAGTGCTCTTTGTAGCCAGCGAAGAAAGTCAGGGACCCTCAGAGGAAGATTAATCCCAGCTTTTCAGACTGTTTGTGCTGGGAGTGTTGGCTTCCCTTTGCCAGCTACAGAGGGAGCCTGAATCTGTAGCTGGAACGAGACTCTAGTGGTTAAATAATGCAAGTTATAATGCAAGAAATCCTGCCTTAAGTGAGAAAATGTAAAATGTGAGGTATTTCTCCTCTGTGACTAGTTCTAACTGCAGACCCTTTCAGTGGGTAAAATGTAGTACACATTTCCCTCAGAGATTCAGATAAATGTTTGCAAAAAGCAGCCTGCACCCAGTTAATTCTATTCCCATTGAAGTCTGAATACTTTCCAAAAACCTGTCCTTGAACTCTTAACAGAATTTTGGATTGCCTTAGAAAAATAAAAAGAATGCTGACCAGCCTAAACCATACAATAAAATATTCCTTCTATTGGAGCTGTCATGTACACTAGATGGGAACTCTCTAAGCTATAAACGTCTCATAGGAAGCCAGGTCAAGGAGAAGAATCTGATTCAGGATATCTACCTGATGATAAAAACCATATTGCAAATTGTTTCATAAATCCCACTGCCAAACATCTAACCCAGTATCCTAGATTCATATGCTAGTAAATGTGCATTACTCAGGCTGCAAAGGGAGTTATCATCTTTACAAAATATTTATCTTTACTGAAATCAAATCCCAAGAAGAATCCCAGGGTGCAGAGGCAAAACGGTTAAGTTGTCAAATATGGCCTTTTGTGTGTGTGAAGATATTTGAAGATATTTGCTTTTTGGTTATTTTCTGCTTGGAAAGCAGGAGATACAATTTGCCGATGTTTCGTCCCTACA